TGAGGAGTAAGCATCACACACTCCTAAGGTTAAGAAGAAAAAAAAATCAGGAATGTAGTCTTTTTTTTTTTTTTTTTTTTTTGGGAGACAAAGAGACTCAAGCAGTCACCCTAGGTAGCCATGACATCACAACTCACAGCAACCTCAAACTCCTGGGCTCAAGAGATGCCCTTGCCTCTGCCTCCCAAGTACCTGGAACTACAGGGCCCGGCCACAACACCCAGCTATCTATATTTTGGTTGCAGCTGTCACTGTTGTTTGGCAGGCCCTGGGTAGATTTGAACCCGCCAGCTCTGGTGTTACGTGGCTAGCGCCTTAACCACCTGAGCCACAGGCACCTAGCCAGTAACGTAGTCTTGATATTTCATTTTAAGTGGCTCTACATGAAGCTAAACTACAATCTCTTCAGTTTAAGACAAAACTGTTCATCTTAAAGGGTTTTCCAAAAAGGAAGATCAAATGGGCAGTGCCTGTGGCTCAGTGGGTAGGGTACCTGGCCCATATACCAAAGTTGGCAGGTTTAAACCGGGCCAAACTGCAAAAAAAAAAAAAAAAAAAAAAAAAAAAAGGCCAGGCGCTGTGGTGGGTGCCTGTAGTCCCAGCTACTTGGTAGGCTGAGGCAAGAGAATTGCCTAAGCCCTGGAGTTGAAGGGTACTGTGAGCTGTGTGACACCACAGCACTCCACTGAGGGCAATAAAGTAAGACTGTCTCTACCCAAAAAAAAAAGGGGGGGGGATCAAGTGTTCATTGTGAAACTAGCTTCAAAAATTCTGTATATATCAACTATTCAGGACAATTGCATATATATTGTCCATTTGAAGAATAAAACCAGATTTTCATAGGTGTGAAAGAACTACATGTGGGACAGTTTAAAGTGATTTACAGATTAAATACAAAAGTCTAGTCCCATACTACTTCAACCTTGATTTAGAGCCCACATTGTAATACCCTCAACTAAAATCTAATCTTAACCAATTTTGAGTTACTTATCAAAAAAAAGAAAAAGAAAATGGGGACATAAATTTTTGACACTACCCAACCTTGGCAGGATCATTTCAAAAGAAATTACTTTGGAACTACTTTACAGTGTTACATTGTATGAGCCAAGCTTCTAAATACAAAAAACCTTTAAAAGTTAAGAGTTGGTTAACAACTTGGAAAACTTACAAATACTGAGACCAATTAAAATATTTCTGATCTAGGGTGGTGCCTGTGGCTCAGTGAGTAGGGTGCCCGTCTGATATACTGAGGGTGGCCGGTTCAAACAACCCAGCCCCAGCCAAACTGCAACAAAAAATAGCCCAGTGTTGTGGTAGGCACCTGTGGTCCCAGCTACTCTGGAGGCTGAGGCAAGAGAATCGCCTAAGCCCAAGGGCTGGAGGTTGCTGTGAGTGGTGACATAACAGCACTCTACCAAGGGCAACGAAGTTACTCTGTCTCTTAAAAAAAAAAAAAAAGATACTTCTGATCTGAAATTAGCCTACATTCTAAGGGTAAAAAATTGAGGTAGCACTTCCTTATATTCATAACCTAATCTCACGTTAAACAGCCTTATTGATAATTTAGGAAGCTGTCCATTTGAAGTGAATAAATACTGGTTTTATCATTCTTGTCTACTCAAAACTCACTGCTATTTAACTATAACCCCAATTCTGATAAAGGAAAAAATCCTTTAAGTTATTTTGAATTTCAAAAAACTGCTCTATAGGCATAAATTAACCATTTCAGTATTTAATTGCTCCTATAAATTAGAAGTGTATTCTATTTCATTAAATGTACCATGAGAGAGGTACTTACATCATGAAGTTGAAGAAACAGGCTGACTTTAGCATATAAACTCTTTGAAACATCTCATCTATGCTTTATGTGAAATAATCTTCCCATTCAGTTATAAAGTTCCCTATGCAATTCTATATGAAGTTCTACAATGTTGCCCATTCCATGTCAATTAAATGTGGATTCTACTACTTTAGACTTTTAAAAAAAATATTTCCAAGCCAAAAAATACTCAAAGACCTTCAATTCATAGGTATGGTGCAAGTGCTCAATTTATAGAATCACCCACAGGGTGAAAAAATCATACAAAGCAGACTTTTCCCCCCAACCACTCTTAACCTAATATTCATAATTCTTTAAGAGTAACAAACTTAATATACACTTACAAAAATCACTTGTGGTAATTCACATTAAGAACTTTAAATTACCTTCTCCTTGAATACAAAGGCAATATACATCTTGAAGTCAAACTGGTCAGCTAGAGATTCTTTTTTCTTTCTAAGCTGAGCACGTAGTCTGTTCAGAGCTTGTTTCTTCCGGGAGTTTGGGTCCCCCATTTTGAAATACAGGTGGTACTAAAGCCTTTGGAAATTGTCACTAAACTATGGGCACTTTTTCTTAAGACTCAAGTACAACAGAAACAAGTCATTTTTTTCCTGCTAATATGATTGAATAGCTAAAATCACAACTGTAACCCAAAAACTGCACCCCCTGGCACTATTAGCAGACTGTCATATTACAGGGTCAAGAAATAAAAGCTGCTGTCCAGTCATGTTTTGGACAATAATGTTTGGGGTCAGATAGGAAAAAGGAAGGGAAGGAAGGAAAGAAAGAAAGAGGAGAAAATATTTTAACTAACTTTCTGGAAAACACATTTGGCTTAACTGCCAAAATAAAGGCTTTGGGGGGAAATGAAAAGCCTATAATCAGGATTTAGGTGTGCAATAAAACACAGCTGACACCAGTCCAATCCTTAAAATCCATCCGGATTTTTCCCCCTTTTTAGAAAAGTGATTAAGAAAAAACAGGGAGGGGTAAAGTGTGATCCTGTTATTCCAAATACAAAAAATAAAGCAAAACAAAATATCAAAACAGGGTAGGTAAATGAAACTGAAATATCCAATTGGATTTTACCCAGCCAGATCCATGGCCGTAGTACCTAATTAATTCTTAGTTATTTCAGATTTCACTATTGCTATGTATTGTCAGTGCCTGTTATTGATTACACTTGGTGGCGAGCAAAGAGAAAAGTGCAAATTCGGTAGAGAAGGAAGGGGAGAGGTACAGGGTTTCCCTGCAATCAACTACAGTGTATACCGGGGGCGGGCAGCTGTTGCCCAAAGGAGCCATGAGAAAAAACAGCGGAGTCATTACCAACTTCCCCATCACCCACATTTTCACCCTCAGGCGGCTGCTAATGCTGCTGCCAAGGAGAATCATGATGGCAGAGGAAAAGGGTATTAATATGGTATTAATAATTATTCCGGCTCTGTGGTTAGACCTAATTAATGCCCGGGTTCTCAACACCCCCAGCACTGCAACTAATCTTACATTCCCCAAGGGAGCCTTCCCTATGGATTTGCCCCCGTTCAAGATGGTGGGGAGTGCGATTTATCTTCTTGTGAGCATTGCCGAGGCAAAGGTGGCGAGTTTTCCCAAATCCCAGGCAGCGCCCGGAACCACCTGCCTACCTCCCCCCAAGTCCCACCCCCTCCCCTTGCCTTCAGCGGCAGCGACTCACTCGCACCACGGGAGACACAGGATCACTCAGGTTTTCACTCATTTCATCGTGGAAACAATTCCCGCCCGGATAGAATAGGCGGGAGAGGGTAAATGGGAAGGATCAGTGGGAAAGAAAGAAAATAGTTGTGTTAATATTACTTTTTAAAGTAAGCCCACCCCCCCCCCAAAAAAAAAACAATTAAGTTCCCGGATCTCTCAAGTTGAACAGACCATGTTTCCAGAGTTTGGATTGTTTAGGGTGGGGTCGTCAGTTGGTTTCCCAAGGGGGCAGGGGTTGGAATCGAGGCAGGCGGGGTGGGTGACGGGGAAATCCCCTCCCTGTCCCCGCAGAGACCAGGACTCACGGACCGACTCTCAGGCGGGGTTTGGGCCCTCTAGCCGCAGCCTGCGGGCGGAGCGGTGGCGGCGGCGGAAGAGGCGGCGGCGGCGGGGGCGCTGCTCGCAGCACGGGCAGAAGCCATGTCAAGAGAAAACCACCAGCCAACTGAGCCCCTCCATCCCCGCTGCAGTGCGCACTGTGACCGGGCCGCCCGCGCTGCTGCCGCCACTCAGCCCCCACCTGGGACCCATAGTCTGGCTCGGCGCCCCGGGCGGCGACGTTGAGGAAGGACGCGGGGGTAGCGGCGACCGAGAGAGAAAAAGAGAAGAGGAAAAACGAAGAGAAAGAGAGTTGGATTGGTACTAGCGGCGGAGGGGGAGGGGAGAAAGGGAAGGAGAGCCCTGCGCTAAAGGATCTGTCAGAGAACTAAACCCCCCAAAATAAAAGTTATTTCAGTTCAAGCATCTGCTCTTGAGTCTTTCTTCTCCCCTAAGTCGGGTTGCAGTTCTCAGGAAAGAAGGTGGAGGAGACCCGGAGGGGGGAAAAGCCGGAGCGGATGGTGCGCGTCCGCGGTAGCACAGCCTGGTTTCCCCCCCCAACCGGTGCCTGCAGAAGCGGGTGCGGCCTCGGGAGGCTCCCGGGTCCGGGGTAGAGTCGCGTTTGAGAAAAGAAGCGAGAACAAACAACTTAAAATGGCAGCGACGGCCGCTGCGTCACCCGCCCCTCACCGGCACCGCCCCGAGCCCTCTGCGGCTGCGCGCACCGCGGGCCTCCACCATCTGCTCAGGAACAAAGGGGAAGAAAGGGTTTGAGGCGAGAAGATTGTCAAGGTTATCAAGGAGGAGTAAAGGATATCAAGAGTAAAGGATATATATAAGTGTTAAGGATTATAAATCTTTTAAATGAAACTTCTCATTTAATATTCCTCCCTCAAGGGCAAGTTTGAGAGTTGAGACTCCCCTCTCCTGCAGTATAAAGTTTCCATGGGGCGTGGAAAGGGGCTCCCCTTTCCACGCTCCCCTCCCTCCGCCCACTCGGTCAGGAAGTCCCAAGCTCCTGAGTTGGCTCTTCGCCCCTCCCCTCTGACGTCATAAAAACACGCCCTTATGCCCTGCCAACAAAGCTCCCGGATGGAGTCGCTTTTTCTCTGGTCTAGTCAGCTGCTCTGGGTGCAGCTGGGCGCGGGACGGAACCGCGGTAGTGGCATGAGGTAGGCGGGAGTAGGGGCGGAGTGAAGAAGGAAAAGCAAACTCTATGCTGGACGGTTGAGGGGGAGATTCTTATTCCACTTCATTGTTGATATCTTTATCAGGGTCTGCCTCCCGGTATTTTGCGGCGACAAACTGAGTATTCATTTCCAGTACTTGGAACTTAAATGGCGTGCAGCAGAAAATATCTCACGTTAGTTCCACGCGTCTCTGTCCCCACCCTGCCACGTGCGCGGGCGGGCGGGTTGGGAGTCAATCTTTGAACAAGGTCAAAGACGCCGTTTAGACGTCCCTGCTGTGATGTAGGAGAGAAACCGCCGAGCCTCACCTGTGGAGGTTTTCCCCTCGCTATCAGATCGCAAGTTCTATTACTATGTGAAATGCAGATTTCACTTAATTTATGACATTGGTTTAGAAAATAACGATACAAACAAAATTACTGCTGACTCGTGTTCTTTACCTGGTGCTGGTTAGTACGTAAAAGCTTCATTGTAATATAATTCACACATTATACTATTTACCTTTTCGAAGCGTGTAATACAATGGGTTTTAATGTATTCAATTTTGCAACCGTCACATTGTCATAACTCCTAGAAAAAAACCAGTACCCGTTACAGTCCCCCAGGACTTTAGAACTGCATCCTGTCCTGTATATGGATCTCTGTAATCTCAAAACATAGAGGGCACTGTGGAACGTTTGCTGCGGAAACACACGTTCTTGGCACCAGAGTGTTGAGTCCATTTTTCAGGCCTCTAATGTGCTCATAAAAATGCAGTTATATAAGTGATTAGCAAATTTCAATATTTCACATAAGCAATGTCGGTATATTTCTTTATTAGCTACTCTGATGCAATTTTAGACGTCTATTGGGCCCCAAATTACTGTTTTTTACTTTTTGAAATCAAAATAGATAGGCAGTAATGACGTACTTTTTGCCCTAGCTATACCCACCCTTAAATTTAAATTGTCCGGAACTGAAGGATGAGATTTCTAACGTTTCCAAAGTATTCTAACCTTGGAAGAGAAAATTTGCATTTTTCTAGTGTTTTGCTGATTTATTTTCACAGTCACATAAGTGTGTGGAAAGCTCACATGGGTAACTACATGAAATGATGATTTCACTTAGTTTATGGCAGTGTTTTTAAAAAGAAGGATATTTTTAAAATAATGCTGATTCATGTGTTCTTGACTTGGTGCTGATTAATACATGACAGATTGATTGAAATATAATTCACATACCATGCTGTTTACCTATTTGAAGTGAATAATCCTGTGGGTTTTAATATATTCAGTTATGCAACCATATTATCGTTCCTAGAAAAAAACCCTGTACCCATTAGTAGTCACTCCCCTTCTTCCTCTCTCCTGCTCTGAAACAACCACTTATTTATGTTGTCTCTATAGGTCCTTTTTCTGGAGTTTTGTGGGGTTTGTTTGTTTGTTTGTTTTGGGGGGGTATTTCTATTTTGAGACAGAGTCTCACTTTGTCACTTTGTTGCCCTCGGTAAAGTGCTGTAGCATCATAGCTCACGTTCTCTTGCCTCGGTCTACTGAATAGCTGGGACTACCAGCGTCT